AGACATCACCCGCTCAGAGAACATCTCTGCTTTCCGGAATTTTGTTTTGGACAATACTGATCGGAAGGGAGTGCATTTCTTAATGGCTGATGGGGTCGGTCCCTTTCTTTTTCTTCTTGCACTAATGACCCAAACTGATACTTCTCTATCTGTGTATCGTGTGTGATTTACCATTGGTCCATACTTATGGAGTGAGATTTATCAATGCTTGCCATTGTAATTCCTGGTGGCAGTGCTTTCTATCTGAAGAAGTAGGAATTGTCATTGTTCCATGATGCAATTTTACAGAATCCTTTGCTTGAGGAACAGCTTTGTTGAGATGCTAATCACATCCTATGTGCGTTGCAGGGCTTCTCTGTGGAAGGCCAGGAGAATCTGCAAGAAATCCTAAGCAAACAGCTTATGCTTTGTCAGTTCCTTACAGCGCTGTCTGTTGTCCGAACAGGTAGGTTTTGTCTGTAAAGCATAAGTAGTTCTTGTGGATGGATACTTCAGAATTATATCAACTTGCCATAATGTCCACTCTGCTGTGAGGGTGAGTTGCCAAGAACATAGTAAGTCCCATTCATCCTGAGATGGCTATCACAAAGGTTAGAAAAAATAAAACATAAGATTATATATGTGTCTTTTAATTACAAACATGAGGTAAAATGCGTTAGTTTAAAGCTCTTTTGTGGTGTTATATTTTGTAGTTGTCTTGGATTAAGGGCACTGGTACAGTGAGTGGACAGTAAATTTGAGCTTTATGGTTTCAGCTAAACCATCTGTTTCCTGAATATTTCAGCAGGCTGGTTGGAACAGGCAACAGCGTTCATGCAATTCATTCTTTCTTTTAACTTGTGGCTTTTATGCCTTCAATTTATCATCTCTGTGTTCTGAAAAAAATGTCTTGGGTTGTCCAAGTTGTACCTCTTTTGCTGCCAAATGATGGACACAACAGTTGCATCTAGTTTTCATGGCTCCTCTTTTGAAGGCCGAATTTAGTTAGTATTTGGAACCGAGGCACAAGAACTGATGAAGAAAAAAATTTAAACGAGTAATTGTTTACTTTGTGCTGTACTCAGAAGCATCTGAAGCAGTGATCTGTTTAGCAGCAGCATTTCAAAGTTGATATGGTTGAAGGAGCAACCTTCAATCCTCTCTCTGGGTAGGCACAGCCCTCTTTTTTCCTTAGGGAAACTATGAGCCTTGTTTGTAGGCAAAGGGCATAGATGCCTTCTCCCTAGGTGACAAGTTATTTTGTTTAGATAAAAAATGTGTTTTTTTTTCTTTTTTCCCCCCCTCCATCCTGAAGCTTCTCATTGGACAGATCAGAGCTCTGTTGTCAGGGTTTTGCATAGCGTCCTGCTCTGCCTCACTGTGAAATTTGGGCTCTACGGGGTGCATGAAGGAATTCTTCTTGAGACTACAAGAAGACTGATTGGATCCTGGTCAGGAAACTACTTTTCTCTTTGCAGAAATTTGGAGAAGACTGTTCATGCAGCCTCACTGATTCACCTTATGAGAGTGTTTTAGATACTGTTTAATTGTACAAAACCTTTTTTTTCCTTTTTATTCCTGTTTCTGGGGGAGAGAAAGTTACAGAGGTGCTCGGTTTGTCCCTGTTATCTCATAATCTGTTGGTGCTGATGTGCTTTCTCTCTTTTCTCCAGGAGGACATTTTGTCTGCAAAACTTTTGACCTGTTTACCCCATTCAGTGTGGGGCTTGTTTATCTGCTGTACTGCTGCTTTGAGCGAATTTGCATCTTTAAACCTGTGACAAGCCGTCCTGCTAACTCAGAGAGGTGAGACTGTACAACATGAGGGATTACTAAAGAAACCCTTATTTATTCATTTTTTTATGGAGTGATAGATGGATTTGGGTAAATTTAGGAGAAACTCTGTTAACATTATTATATTTTTTTTATGGAGTGATAGATGAATTGGGGTAAATTTAGGAGAAACTCTGTTAACTCACTTATATGGCAGCTGTCTTGGAGGAGGAAGCATTTTAGATGCTTAGCAAGTGATAGTGGTTGGTAAGGTAAAGAATGTATTCACCAAATTATCGTGGTTTTTCGTGACTCTGCTCATGTCCTTCTGGGATAAAAGCAATGAACCTAAATATGTAACAAATTGCTTTGCGTAAAAGAACTAAGGTTTGAATGAAGTTAAAGCATATGTTATTGTACCTCTCCCCCAACCATCTGCCCCAGTTTGGTTTTCTGCTTGATTTACTATTTTAGGACAATCTGAGTTTTCAAATAGCATTGTGTTTTCCAGTCTTTTCGGACAGTAGAAAATATTGTATAAAGATTTGTGATAGATGAGGCTGCCTCTTACTGGAGGAGCCCGGGGCAAAAAAAAATCCTGAGATCTGGAAGAACAAAGCTGCCCTAACAGTCATGAGTGTGACATGAAAGTTGGCTGTGTAGCAGGACTGAACCCATATATTCTTTTGGGCTTGTTCCTCAGGTACGTGGTATGCAAAGGACTAAAGCAAGGGGTTGATGATGTGCGGGACTACCTCTTCATGGTGAACAACAGACTCAATCAGCTGCGCAACTCGGACGTGGATGTAAACCTTGTCGTCCCGGTGAACGTGCTCAAAGGCGACCAGGATTTCTATAATTACATTGTTCACTCTAATGAAAAGTGAGTGTGGGCAAGTAGGGCCACTGGCTCTAGTGGGTCAGCCAACTTGGCTCTCACTTGTGATGCTTAATGCTCTTACGGGTGTTTGATTGCTGGTAGATGGCCCTGGTTTTGCTCCCTAAATGGCTTGGCAGAGCAGAGCCTGTTCCTCAGCAATGAGAAATGCCTCATATTTTAGTGACCGATTGGCCTCTGAATGCTGTCCTCTTGTGCAGCATGGAAAGGAGGCTATTGCCTAGTTCATTAGTATGGACTTCCATCACTTTAATTGGACTATGGTGATCCAGTACTGCTTTGAGGATCAGCCAGACTTTTTGGTGACCCAGCACTATTCCTTGTTTTGAATATTAAAACAATCCTGGCAGTGTTATTAGCTTGTTTGCTGACTGAAAATTGTCCTGTCTTTCAGCCACTGCAAAATCCAGATCAAGGCACTAGCCAAAATTCGTGCTTTTGTTCAAGACACGTGAGTATATTCCCCTGGATTTGGATGAGGGTTGACCTTAACCTACTATAAATGAATTGCTTTGTCCTTTACTGTGTGTTTTTTGATTTGAGGAGGTACTTGACTTGGCATGTGGAGTCAGGAAAATTAATAGTGGCTTTAAGTAGAACAGTTTGTTTCTGAGTTGCTCCCTTAAATATGTGGGTAATTGAACGGATCTTGAAAGTTGGTGGTCTGATACCATCTGTGTTGAGAAGGGTTGTGTGAACTGCATGCTTTCCAGTTACCATAAGTGGGCCTCCTTTGCAGAAATCTGTGCAGAAAAGCAACTCCTGAGTGGTGTTCTCAATTCTAGTGTAACCATTTAAATTAAGTGTGTTTCATAGTTCTTCATTTTCCGGGGGCAAATTGGAGTATCTAAGTTATGTACCGTACCCGGAGTTACTTAAGTCATTGCAAAATGTAGGCTTTTCCCTAGCATGACTTACTGTTCAGATATCATTCAGAGAGAATCTTTAGTAGAAAATTGAATGAGCTGGGAGCCATCTAAGCGTTAATCCTAACACTGAGACCATTCTGTGTGAGGCCTTCAGCCTTCATTGTTCTTTGTAAAGAGGCTTATGTAGCAACTTCCAAGCTCTTGAAGATTAAAGTAATTTCGTACTAATACATCACTCTGTGAAAACATTGTTGTTTCCGTAGTGCATTCCTGGCATAGAAGGGTGGCCACTAAATGGTAATAAACCATCAAATAAAATTAGACTTGGTAGGGATGAGGACACCGTCTTTTGAATGTAAGCTGTTGGGGAACACTGCGTGTGTCTAGCCAAGCCACACACTCTAAAGATGCAGAGCGGGTAGGGCAGGTAGGGCTGTGCTGTGTTAACACTGCAGGACCAAAGGGATGTCACCATTCTAACTGTGTGCTGGTTTTCTCTCAAGGACGCTGATTGAGCCACGGCAGGCTGAAATTCGAAAGGAGTGTCTCCAGCTGTGGGGGGTAAGTAGGCTGCTAAGCAGGGAAGTTGTGAGTGTGTCCTCTGGGGTGCTGTTGCGAAGGGAAGTTGTGAAGATGCTATGGGGAAATAAGGAAGGAGCTGGAGTACAGACAGGAATCCCTAGATAGGGGCTTGATGTCTTTAATACCGTCCTCTGGAAAATTTGGGAGATCACTTGAAGCTGTTCAAATAAGTAAACGCCGTGTTGCTTGTAGGTTTTGTCAGTGGCTTAAATGAAACATCCTAATTGCAGAACAACAGAACAATCAGAAGGCTTCTCATCGTACACATGGTGAACTCGGGAGCTAGTGGCTTTGTGGGTCTGCAGCTTTTCATTCCTGGGCTTTTGGCTGCAGTGAGATCATACAGTTATGGCTAATTTTATGTCTCCAGTTAAACAGTATTTCATTACTGTGGAGAGATGCTGTTTCAGTTAGTACATGTTTTCTTTTTTTTTCCCCATAGCGTGTGAAACACATGGAATAAAATATTTAACTTGAATCTTTTGGAAATTGCCCGTGCCTGTTGTTTCCTGTGACATAGTTTAACTATATAAGGTTTGCAGTATGTGTTAGGCCTTTCCTTTGCCTTGAGAGCCCTCCAACACCCAGAGCGCTGACAGCGGGAGTTGTAGGGGGCAGAGGACATTACTGAGGCCACTACTGCCTTGTGAAACCAGAAAGGTTTGCACATGTAAAACTTACTATCTATCCTTTGGATTTTTTTTTTCTAGATTCCTGATCAGGCCCGTGTTGCTCCTTCATCTTCAGATCCCAAGTCCAAGTTCTTTGAGCTGATTCAGGTGAGACCTTACCCAGGAACTTGTTCTGAACCTTTTCATACAAATAGGCCTTTTCCCTTGAAGAACTGAGAGATGAAGAAGCTAGACTGGTGTTGTCAGTTTATGTAGAAATTCCATTTACCTACTTGTTAATGGACTGTGTCTAACCTGCCTCTCCCATATTCTGCTCTTCAGGGCACAGACATTGATATCTTCAGTTATAAACCAACTCCTCTTACTTCCAGTACACTGGAAAAGATCCGCCAAGTGTTAGATTACCGGTGTATGGTGTCTGGAAGTGAACAGAAGTTCCTCTTGGGGCTAGGGGTAAGTCCTGAGAACAGTCAGACTTTTCAGCAGGGAGTTTTCTATTTCATTTCAGTGCTATTACTCTGCCTTGCAGATTCATACCATCACTGCTTTTCACACTAATTAGCTCTGTTTTTCTAATCCCAGCCTACAGGGAAAGCAGTATGCTCACTAGTGTCTAATTCTTCACTGTCCTTTTAAAAATTCTCTCTTTCTAGTTCAGGCTATGAAAAGTCACTGACAGATGAGAATCAGGATTTTATTCCTTTGCTGTAGAGATTAAGGTTCTTCATTAAAATTTCCCACGAAGAAACTACTTCTGACAGCCTAGAACAAGAAAATTCTGCTCTAAATTTAATTTTAAATTTGGAGCGCTCTTCTCCAGTTTCCCATCAGGCCTGGCTGAATACAACTCTGCCTTCTGCACACACAGAAATCACAGATCTACACCTGGGATGGTCGCCAGTCAAATCGCTGGACAAAGCTGGACTTGAAAACTGAACTGCCACGAGATACCCTTCTCTCTGTGGAGATTGTTCATGAACTGAAAGGAGAGGTGAGAATTTATTCTCTGTTTTGCCTAGGGCATGAAAATTTGTTTCAGTCATTTTCTGTAGGGTACTGCAGACTAAATATTCTGTCCATGAATGTGCCTCACTTTCTGTGCATGATTTGTAAGAAACTACTTTAGATTAAGTTCCCTTCTTTTTGTGTTTCTATGAAGATGATCATTTAACATAATTTTGAACCCCCTTTGGAGATGACTTGATTTTGTCCTAAGTGCAGCAGGGGATGGCATTGTCACCAAGAGTTAATGTGTTCAGTGACTTTTTGGGTGCGTAACTGCTAGCTAGTGATTACGAACTTTAGGAAAAGACCCTGGAGCATACAGCATTGCTACCAGGGTGTTTACTGTCCTCTGCCCCTGCAGAGAATGCTGCACCTCACTTAAGTTTGCATCGTGGTAGCTGATGAGAGTTAGTGATGGCACTTTCAGGTAATTGTGGCCCTGCTGCCTTTCCGTCCCTGGGAACTGGGCCGGAACTGTGTAGATGAACTACAGTGGTTCTTGAAGGATGGCACATTACTGAAGCACAGACTGTGGGGAATTTGCTGTTCTTCTGATATTTGTAGAGGTGTTTTCTTGCTAGAAGAGAATGATCTGCTGACGAAAATACAGACTACAAAACAAAGCTGAAATAGCAACAAACAGTCTGAGCAGTTAAGTCTCTGTGTTGCCCTCCTAGGGGAAAGCTCAGCGAAAAATCAGTGCCATACACATCCTGGATGTCTTGGTGCTGAATGGCAACGATGTTCGAAATCAGCACTTCAACCAGAGGTATGTAGGCTCTGAAGAACCCTTTTTTCTTGTGGAACTTCAGCACCTTCTCCATGTATTAGGGCAAGTTTAGTTTCCTGAGGCCTGGGTTGAACTGGGCAGTCTGGGTCAAATGATCATCCTAGGAATGAACATATTTGGTGTTTGGCTGAGAAGGGAGTAGCCCCTCTATTTCCTTCCTCAGTGACTTAGTGGCTCTGCCCATCCCGCTTTTCTTCTGGTGCATGGATGTGTTCAGCAACACATGGGTGTGTGAAGGAGCTACAGAAACTTATTTTTTACTGAATAGTAGCTGTTTTCACTGGGCACTGAACTGGGAGGGCAGAGTGAGAAAGGTCCTTCAATATCCTTTTAGTGCCTGGTGGAGTCAGTCTGTCTGTGTGTAAGATGTTGTCCTAGGGTTGGACTCAATGATCTTGAAGATCTTTTCCAACTATAATGATGCTATGCAATAATTCTTATCAATTGTTTTGCTGGATCCATTGCCTACCTGTTATGCAAAGGTCTAGATAAATGGCAGGATTATCTTTCTGTTTTGATTTAGGATCCAGCTTGCTGAGAAGTTTGTCAAAGCTGTTTCTAAACCTAGCCGGCCAGATATGAACCCCATTCGGTGAGTAACTCTTCCCTCAGCCTGGGCTGCTTTGGTCTCAGCCTGGTGTTCAAGGATGAAGATGAAATGCTGAAGGTGTTGGACTTCATAACAGAATTTCAGCTTCTTTACTGGGAGGATGCTAAAGACCTTTAAGATATTTGAGAACTAGGAGTTGACCTCTCTTTTCAGATATTAGGCAGTCATTGCAGTGGCTGGTGCTCATATCAATAGATCTATATAAATGCTATGGTAGCCCTAACCCCCAGTTAGCTTAATTGTTGTTAGTAGAGGAATGAAGTGCTCACCACTGCTTGCAATCTCCATAGGCTTAATATGAGGAGAAGGCTTTGGTTATAATCCCAGGAAGGTTCCTGACAGAGGCTTCAGCTGTGGTTGCCTTCTGACTTTCCATCTTATTAATTTTGCCATGCTGGAGCATCGCTGTGGTGGATGTCAGATAGATAGTGCGTACAAAATAGTTTTTCTCTGAGAAAGCTATCAGCCTAAGTAGAAATGCCGTGATACAGTGAGATAAGATGGAGTGGAGGGAAAGTGAAACCTCTGCTTAATGACTTAATTATAGGTCACGAGTAGGATCTCAAACTCAGTACAGTCACAGCACTTAGAGTGAAGAGTGGGGAGGGCTAAAGGGGAATTGAAAAAGAGGGCTGCAGAAATGGGTTAAAGAAGGGACCTCTTGCTGCTCTCGTGGTGTTCAAAATATGCCTTGGAAGCCTGGTGCTCATAGGTGTGTGTGGGAAATGGGTGGTTGGTGTGTGTGGTCAGAGGCAGTGTTCTTGAGATTTTCTCATTATTTTTGTGTCTCAGAGCAATAAAAATAAAAGCAGATTGACACAGTCATAGAATTATGATTCCAACTTACGGTATAATCTCATGATTAAAACAAATAAAGTGCATTTACCTCAGAGTTACTAATAATTTTAGGTGTCCCTGAGGATAATCACAGCAAAAATTAGACTTTTTAGTTCTACTCTGAGGCCAGCATGCCAAAGCGAGAACTGTATCTTCTGTCTGGGGCTGGTCTTGGTGGATTTACCTTGTGAGAAAGCAGAAGTGATTTCACTGTTCTTCTGTATACTTAGGCTGAGGTAAAAATACACAACTACTTTAGCAGTGAGGACATTTATATACTGCTTACAGCAATCCAGCTGTGAGTGTGTAGGTGTCATTTTTTTTTTCAAGCCAGGAGAAACAAGGCATTGGGGCATAAGAAGGTGAATCTTAGTCAAGCTTGAGCACTTTATGCTGTACAAAATGTATTATTTGGCTGTTTGCAGTATCTGGGTGAGAAAAGAGGGCGTTTCAGATTTTTTAACAATGCTTCATCATGCTTTTGTCTCCTCCAGAGTGAAGGAAGTGTACAGATTGGAGGAGATGGAGAAAATTTTTGTGAGGTAAGTGACCAGCGTAAGGGAGGCACTTCTGGTTGTACTGAAGACATCAGCCACTGTGTGTGGCAGCACAGGAATGGGAGGGACGTGTTTGTGGATCCCTGAGGGAAGCTCACAGCTGATAGCTGCTGTTTTTGGAGTGCTGTTTATGCAGAGAATCATTCTGCTGGATTCTAATGCACAGATGAGACCAGTGTGCTTAACAGGAGTAGAAGCAGCATTTTCTTTAGCTCTAGTCACCAGGGATTCTTTGCCTTTTCCCTTGACATGCAAAAGACTCTTTTGAGCTTGTGTACAGGAATGCAAGCAGCTTGAAAGATTGAGTTTATACCTGAAATGGCAGTCTCATTTGGTTTAAGTATGGTAAATCATCCTAGATCCTTCATTCCATCACTTGACGTCTGGTTGTATGGAGATTTCTGACTGTTTTTCTAGCGTGGGGCTGAGGCAAGAGACTGAATTCTCCAGCAATAATGGATGCAATAATTTGACCTGTCATGAGCAGTGCTGTCAGTTTTCACTGTGGTGCTCTAGAGAGGAGCAATAATTTGACCTGTCATGAGCAGTGCTGTCAGTTTTCACTGTGGTGCTCTAGAGAGGATGTACAGGTGCATTTTGTGTGCAAGAAGAGAGTGGAGGAAGAAACGAGATGCTGCCAAATGCAGTTTCTGTCGTTGCCTTCTCTCAACACTCAGGTTAGAGATGAAGATCATCAAGAGTTCAGGGGGAATACCCCGGCTATCCTACACGGGCCGAGATGACCGGTACTTTGTGCCCACGGGACTCTACATTGTACGGACTGTGAATGGTAGGAAGAGAGAGTCTTCTGCTCTCATTTTCCTTTTCTCCATATCTTCAAGTGTAAAGTAGAGACCAGAGTTGTTCTTGGTTAACCTGGTAAAAATTAATGGGAGTAATGGGAGGCAAGTTAATGGGAGTAGTTGGAGATTGGTTATACCTATTTGAAAAGAGGGTAGATTTGGTTGGGATGAGATTTAGGTGGGGGTTTTTTTTTGTGTGTGTGTGAGATAAGTTTTTCTGTTGTGGTTTAATTAGTACTTAGTCTGTGAGCAGTTCTTGTTTACATGACTGATGATATTTCTTTTGAGTTCATATTGTTTCACCAAGAAGGTATTTTCCAAATTAATAGTACATAGACATAGAAATATGCTACTTAAAATGCCCATTTTGAAATGCAGAGAGTAGGGGATTTTCTCAGTGAATTTAGAACAGCTTGCAAAACAGATTCTTCAGAGGGAAGGGAAAGGAAAAGGAGTAAGGGAGGGATGACAGTATGTTCCTAGAGATTATGCCTCCCTGCTCTCACTATATGTGTTTATGTTGTGCTCTTTCCCCCATTCCATTTTCCATCTTGTTCCTGTGACTTTTTCCCCAAGATCCCTGGACAATGGCGTACAGCAAAAAATCCAGGAGGAAGTTCTTCTTCAACAGGATAACCAAGAGTTCAACATATGATCTCCCTTCTGATTCCATTGCACCCTTTCAGTGAGTACAAGCCTGACTATTTGCCAGAGCTGAAACTATGGAAGGACTGAACAAGGGTTCATGCAGCCCTTGTTCTCTGCAACAGGCCAGTGCTTAGATCTTTAGGTAGTATCCTCAAGAAGTTCTGACTATTGGTGCTTCCCTAGACCTTATTTTTGGGGACTTGGAAGGGAATCCAGGCTGGTTGTGCTGTTTGTAGTCACTTGTAGTGCAAGCTCGGCTTGGTCACCAGCAGGGTGTGCTGCAGAAACTGGAATCTTCTTGGAGTTTAAGGGCACTGCTGTTTTGTGGTGGATTGATAACTGAGTAACACAGATTCTCACATCTTCCATTTCTGTTTTCATTTCCCTGTCTGCAGCAAGTTATTGAACCTCCCTGCATGCACCGAAATGGAAGCTTAGTCCGGCAACTGCAAAGTATCTTAAGATGCTTGCTTGGAATTTGCTAATTTAAAAGCAAATCCCAATTAATTTAGGCTGGGCTCTGGAATAAGTTATAGCCAGCTGGGACTTGTTTAATGAGAAAGTGAGAAAAGCAGTAGCAGCATCTCCTTGGGAGAGGATGGGAAGGGATTGTCATTAGACAGTTGTGAACATTGTAGCTGCTGAAACCAGTCTGTTGTGTGATAGACCCAGGCCATCTAAGGACACCGAATTCTGAGTCTGTTTGACAGCTCATGGGTGGAGGTGTTCTGGACACCTTGCCTCATGTGGTGTCTGAATATCTTCCCGCCTTTCCTTCCCACCCTGACTGTGCCTGTGAAGGAGATGTGTCCCACTCTGAATCTCCTTGTCTGACTTACAGCAGTGCTGTTAGGAATCCATAAACTTCCTTAAACAGCTAAATAGAAGAGACTTGAAACTGCAAAAACAGTGGCACATGGTGCTTTTATCTCTCACTGCCTTAGCTGCCTCAGCAGTGAGAGATAAACATTTCTCTTTTTGGAAGTTAGACCAGCATGGATGAGGATTTGGAAGGCTTCTGGGACTCCAGAAGGGCTGTGTTGTGTTGTCATTAGTGAGCACTAATGTGTGTGCAATTGGCCATTGGCTTGTGCTCTGCACCGTGCTAATACTGCTTTGTTGGAACAGTAGCACCAAATAAGCTGCGTGAATAGTAAGTGTCAGGAGTTGTACCAAACGAGAGGCTGGCTGTGTCAGCAGCAATTAGCAGCTCTGTCTTCATTTTGGTGGGGACTCTGTTGATGCCCTGAGGGAAGGCTGTGTTTGATGTATGGGGTGAGAGGTGGGGCAGGAGCAAAGTCTCCTCAGGTGAGTGCGGCTTGGTTAGATCACCCTGGGGCAAGAAGGGGTGATGCCAGCCTCTCCTGTGCAGCATGGAGTTCTGGTCATTTGCTAAGCTTGGTAGGACAGGTATTACTGGACTCTAGTAGGTTAGTGGTAAGTGATCAGATTTGCTGCTTTCTGCTGCTCTCAAACCAACTTCTTCATTAAGGTCTTTACCTGCAACAACATTCTCTGAGTTTCATGCTCTGAAAACCTTTCAGGGGAGGTAAGTTTTCTCCAGTGACTGGTCTCCTTCCAGGAAATTCTGAAATGACCATCTTGAAGGGCGTTTGTTTCCATGGAAATCTCTTAAACTTGGAAGTGTCTGCACTTTACATGCTATACAGTTGACCGATGAATGAATGTACTGGCCTTCTAATGTGCACCTTAGACTATTTCTGTGTACTCCCCATTGCCAGGATAACTGTTTTTGTAGTGCACCTCTGGGCTGAGAAGTGTGTTTTTTCTATTCTCTTCCCTTTTTTATACTAATCTTGTTCTTTTCTCTGCCCACAGTGTCTGCCATTACAGCCGTCTCCTCTGGGAGTGGGGGGAAGGTGTCAAAGTGCATGACTCTCAGAAAAGGCAAGATCCAGAGAAGCTATCAAAGGATGATGTCCTGTCTTTCATCCAAGCACACTACCCCTGATCCATGCACTCAGGAGGCACATAGGGGAGTGCTGAGCCTCGCTTGGATTCTTCAGGACTGGCTGGACTGGGAAGATTCCATAACTTCTATCTCTGGTTTTCTCCAGAGCTGATTTCCTGGAGGTGATCTAATCAGGGGTGATATGCAGAAGCATAGGACAAGGCTGCAGCCTGGGATGACAGTGTATGTAAGTGTATGGCCCAGGTAGTGCCTACTGCAGGAGTACCCATGGAGACTCCTGGAGCCAAGGTCTAATGCCCTTTTGTCCCGACCTACTGCATGCATAAGGCCAAGGAGCTGGCAGCTTTCCTTGTCCCTGTTCAAACATTCAGCTAGGTTTGTGGAGCTCTCTGTGTGCCAGAACTCTCTTGAGGTGGCACATGCTTCCTTGGCAGTGTGGGAAGGAGCAGAGGATGGTGACAGAATGGAGAACAGCACATTCAAGCAACCCCACGTTGTTCCTAGCAGCTGTCTGTCTCCTTGGCCTTGTCAAGGGCCTTTGCTACCCAACAGTGGGTATAACTCATTAAGGGATGCTAGCTTTGGGACATGAGTATTTATTCTTGCTGATGTCTCCTGCACTTGTGCTGTCAAGGCACTAGGCTGACCACTGGCAATTCCTCTGTGATGGTATCCTGGTGAACAAAAGCCAAACCAGGTGGTAAGAGGAGAGTTCCTGACCTGGTTTTGATGTGCTGAGCGCCAGGGTTTTCTCAGATCTTTAGAAGCTGCTGTGACAAGGATTTCCCCTCTCCAGGTCTAAGACTGACTCTGAGCCACCAGACTGGTATTAGTTTATGAACATGTCTATGCCTCGTGGTATTTCTGAGACCAAGGTGCTTTGATTTTTTTCTTGGGACTCAGTTCTTGGTACTGTTATGCATTTCTTCAGGAGGAAAGCAGAGTGAGGGAAGACACAAAGTTTGTGACGCTGGAGCTCTTTAGAAGAAATGATGGAAACATCTGACTTTAACAAAGACCCAGAGCTTTGATGAAGTGAGATCCTGACTTTGACCATGTTGGTTATTCAGAAGAAATCCTATTGCCTGAGTGTGACAACTGGAAAAGATATTAGACTTTTCTTTTTAAATGCCAGAGTGGTCTTTGAAACCCTCCGTGCTGACGTGACCCTGGAGCTGCAGCCGGCGCGCGAAGGTCCTGAGCTGTGACTCTCCGCTGATGGCGTGTCCACAGGCTGCTCCACGCACTTCTGCGCTGGGCTCAGAGTTGTCTTCTGTTGCATGTTTTTCCTTCACTTCTGGCTTCCATGTGTCTTTTGCCAGGTCTTCCATGTAGATCAGAAGATAACACACAGTTGACTGCTTTGGCTGAACAGCAAAGTTGTGCTTTTTTTATTATTATTATTTTTAATTATTTTCTTTAAACACAGGTTGGCAGTAGGGAGGAAACTTATCTAGGGGTTGCCTGAACTGTGCCTTAAAGAAAACTATAGTTGCCCCCAAAACTATAGAAGTTGTTTAGATTCTTATTTCTTTCTCCCCATCCCTGCATGTAGGATTTGAACAAGCAGTCTGTAATGAGGCAAGGAAAGTTGGGCTCTTGCAGGAGTATGGGTGCATGGGTGGCACTGCACCCCTCACAAAGAGGCCAGAGCAAGGACGATGGTTTAAGGTCCTACCTCCACTCACCTAAGGCCCAGTGTTGTGCACAGGTTTTGTGCGGACTCTCTGCATGCACTGAATGTCATCCTGTCAATGTGAGAGGGCTCTGCTCTCTGAGCCTGGAGCACCTCCATGGCTTCACAAGCAAATTGTGTCCACGTACCTGTGCGTTAGTTCTCTACCTGTTTGACACAAATGAATAGAGCTGCTGCAGTTCCTTATACTAGGGATATTCGTATACAGACTTCAGCACTGCAGAACCACAAACCCTGGCTACGGGAGCAGCACAGGGGCTGGCATGGGCTGTTGGCAGCTGGGAACTAGAGGAAGGAAAGCTGGTTGCCCATGGGAGGTCACGTAACAGTCCTGAATAGTGTGCAGAAGAGCTATTCTGTTTCTGTTTGAACTCAACTAAAAGTAGTGAAGAGGGTCCGAGTGTTTTGTTCCACTGCCCCTGCCCCCCTCAGCAGTTGTTAACCCCCAGAGCCAAGCAGTGCTGGGACTGTGTGTGGTTGTTGAACTGCCATCCCCTGTGCTCCCAAGCCCTGGTAAAACAGGAGATTGTGGCTTCTTCCAGCAGAAGACAAAGTCCTGTCATTGGCAGTTTTGGCAAAGGCACTTCCAGGAAGAACAGGGAGCAATTTCTAGTAGGCAAGAATGCGCCTCTGCTGTGTGGTTTCCAGGCCTGTGTACAGTTGGCTTTTTAAATCAGTAATTTGAGTTTTGGCACTCCTGCTGACTGCCTTGAGGCAGTTATTATGCCAGCAAAGCAAACTGCTCCCTTTACCAGGCATCTTTGCTAAATGTTTTATTCTCCACTGAGGGCTTTGGTCTGCCCTCTGGGCTGACAGACAGGAAGGTAACTAGGGAAGGTAAGTGTGGGCTTTGGAGGGCACAAAAGAAATCTGGTTTGCCTGCAGGCTCACTTTTATGAACAGACGTTTCCTGTTTCCCCTGTTGTCTCTAGCTCCACTTAATCCTAATTTGCTTTTATTTTTAATTTTATTTTTGATTCACTGAATCTTAACTCTTAACTCCCTTTCAAGAAGGCAGCATGAGCCACCAAGCTACTTGCTTCCCTGCTGCAGGTTGAATATGGAGGGAGCATGCTGGGAAGGGGAATGAGGAAGGTCTTGCTGAAGGGAATGTTCATGTACATTAATTGCACAACGTATTGGCTGTGTATCATTTTGTGTTGACTTTCCTGCTTTCTCTGTCTCAATTATCAATATATCCCCTTTAGTTCACAAAGGTGCTTGTTTGCTTTGTTTCCAGCCAGTGGTTTGTGTTAGAGAGAAAGGCCTTGCATAGTTAAATTTTAAAGAGTCCTTTCCTCTAAAGGCTTTCCTGACATGCAGGAGCTTCCTCAGGGCTCCCCTTTGTGTGCTACTAGATTGGAATGAGAGGGGAATGCAGGACAAGTGTCGGTGGCCCCTGGCATTCCTCTGCCTTGTCCTAGGCTGCTTTGCCACCCAAAGGAGGCACATGGGACAGTGAATGCTCAAGCAGATTGCAGGCTCCAGGAAGCCAAGAGGCCCCTGCTGCGAGCCAGTGTCAAGCATGCAGGCCTCACTTTGGCTTGCTGGGGTGCACAGCATGTCAACAGGGCTTGGTGGCACCAGAAAGGAGCAAAGAGTGGATGAGAACTGTTAAAAAAATGGGTGAGAGGGGAGGAAAATTAAAAAAAATAAAAATAAAAAAACAACAACAACAAAAAAACACAGCTGAAAGCTACCATGCCTAACTGCTTTATTTAAAGCCCTACAGAGGCACTTCCGTACCTGGAAGGTGACAGCAAACTCTTATAGCCCAATGCTGATTCTCAGAGGCACAGAATGGTTAACAAACTCAAATAGAAGCGAGGTAGGCAGATCTTTCATAGTCCAAGCACCAAGATCTCAAGTTGGCTCCCACCTGTGTGCAGAAGTAGAGATATTCACATCCCACCTGATCTTGTGGAGGTAGGGTTCCTCTGGTCCTGTCAGACTGTATGGGGGAGGAAAGGGTCTTTATTTAGCATAGCTCAGGGGCTGTTCATGTGTTTGAGGGCACAATTCCCATTCTTCCCTTTTGGTCCAGACAGCTTGGTCTCTTAAGCTTGTTGCTGAGGTGCAGCAACCAAGAACGTGGCCCAAAAAGCACCTGTTTGCAACCCAGAGAGGTCATTTTTGTACCAGCCAAGAGGGCCTTGACTGCATATTGGGTAAAAGGGCTCTACCTTGAACCCTGCTTCACTTCTTTACAAGTCTGTTTTGATTTCTAGTTTGCTTCCCAGCCTCCTCAGTTTTTGCAGAGATAGCATCTCCACAATGAGGCTCAGGGAGCATAAACAAGAAGAGCAGTGTGAAATGCCCAGTCCCATGGGAGGGAGGTGTGCTGGTGAGAGAAGAGCTCCTTGCAGAAGACTTATATGGTCAGCAGGGAGAATCCTGTAGTGCAATCACATTGTCCAACAGGCATAAATAAGGGCAATCAGCAGCCCCATGGCCACAGCAAAGGCAGCGTTCTTGCGATTTTCCTTGCGAAGCACCCTCAGTTCTTTTTCTGTGAAACAAACAAAAAAACTTTGCTTGCAGTTGCAGCACACAAAATCATTTCTCCTTTCAAAGCTATCTTACAGGATCAAGGCTACTCTAGGCTAGTGGCAGGTCCCTTGGGATCAGTATGCGAAGCTGATGATTATGGGAAGTGCTGTGCAGGAAGCAGACAGCAAGAGCTCTTATCCCTGCCCCTCCTGCCCTCCACTGACTGATGCCAATTGTTTTTTTTTTCCAGCTCAAGAGGGATAAAGAGGGTCTGGATTCTTTTTGCAAAATGCTGACCAGATTTGGCAGCTGTGTCTTGTCTGCCTGAGTCCAAATTCAAAGGCAGAAGTTGGAGGTGGCAGGAGCTTGAACAGGAAGCTAAGCAGAGCACTGATCCCAGCCAGCCCAGAGGGACTGTTTTTAATGAAGCTCTTACCATAGTTGTCAGCTTTGGTCATTAGTAAGTTTTTCTCTCTCTCCAGCGACTTTCTGTAATGAGAAGACTTGATTACCTGCAAGGCACAACACAGTCTGTTTCTCTGCTTACATGATGGAAGAGAAACTCTGCCCCACCAGCAGTGATAGTTGTTCACAGAATGAATGAGCCCCCCACCCTTGCAAAGGGCTGACAGTTTGGAAACGCCCAGCTGAACAGGAGGAGAGCTGCAGCAGTTCAATGACAGAGCTTTGGGGAGGGAAAACGTTGTGTGTCTCCTTTCAGGCCTGTGCCACTGTATGCAAGCAGGTTCAGAAGGGTCTGTCAGAGATCCCCCTCCCCTGCTCTACCAGGTGGAATAAGCAATTCTGCAGTAGATCCAAACAGGGTAGGGTGCGTACGTGCTGTCTGCTAGATCCTGCCCCTCCAGCACAGCCTGGCTTAGTGCTAAAAGACTGTAACTCTCTGACCTATTAAAGCTGAGATCCTTTTCTCAGAGATACTTGCTTTATATAAACTCCTCAACTTGGGGAGATAAGCTGTACCCAGACCCAGTAACAAAACATTTAAGCTGTTACTAGACACAAAAATCAGGATAACAACTAACACCACCACCTACCCAGTCTGTCTTCAGCTGCACAAGATGATTAATTAATATGCAGTTTAAAATATAAAAGCAAAACAAATTGCCTGAAAGCAGCAGCCTTTCCACTACAGCAGTGAAAACACTGCCACTCCTTTCAGACTGTGTACCCATAAATAAACATGCACTAACAAATTATCTCCCTTTTCAGAGCAGACAGTAGTATTACAAGAGGGAAGACAGTAAGTGTAATAGAGTTTGTTGTTTCCCTGGAGGTAAAGCAAGAATCTGTAAGAGAGAGAGATCCAAACCTAAGTGTACAGCCAGTTAAGTGACAGGCAGCAGGATAGGAAAGAAGGGCTCTTGGAGACTACTGGGGGAAAAGAAAGGTAGGGAGCAGGCCCCGAGGAAGTGAGAAGAGAGATCTGCCACCGCCCCTGCAATGCTGCTTGGAAAATTGCTTTTTGAAGCAAGTCAAGGGAAAGTGGGGGTGGGCTTTGGGGTGGCAGAAAGCAAGAAAATGTGATAATTGAACTTCACAGTGCAAAAGCAGATCTTCCCTGTGTGTAGTGCTTCCTAGATCAATGATTCTGATTGGGGGACAAGGACTTTCTTCCATGGCTTGGGAATAATCTGAGTTATGGCAATAGGATTTTTCTTTCTACCTGCACACAAAGTGTGAAATTCAGAAAAGGCTCAAGGAATTCCCACATCCCAATTCTCTGCTCTGGGTCCCACACTTCAGAGAGAAATCTGCACATGTTTCATTCTGTCAAGTTACTGCACCTGGCAGCAGACAAAGCATCCAAACAGTAAGACAGAGGACCTAGATAAAAGACTGATGATGTGGAGATACAGAGAGGAGGGAGACAGGCCCCTGTCCAAATATGAATGGAAATACAAAATTCCAGTAAAGGAAGAGAAAAAGAGAGAAAGGGCCTGGCTCAAGGAATGGCAAATGGAGAGCAAAGTAACAGAAGGGAAAGGGAGAGCAAAGAACGTAAGTTGAGGATGGAAAATCTCAGTATGTGAGTCACTGCTAGGGCCATTTCTGACTGGATTCTATGGGATATGTTCCTGTAGAGCAGAAAACGGGAACCAAGAAGACTGCTTCTTTCCTAGGCCTACATCTGAGCTTTCCATATTCTGCTAGGAGCAGAGCGATAGGATGTTGAAGACTCCAGAAAAGGCATGTCCTCAAGCTCACAGATTTAAGAATCTGAAGACTTTAGTTGGGGGAAGCCCCCCAGCTTTTGCACCCTCCTAAGAATTAAAGACTGATCTCTTGCTTCATGTGCCAGGGAGATATCAGTTCTGCCTCTGTCTCCTAAAAAAGTCCCAATTAAAACCCTTGCTTCAATCTCACCTCAAAAGACTATAGTTGCCTGTTCTATGTCAGCAACACATCTCAGGGGAATTGTCCCTCATCCCTTTCCCAAGGAAAGGCAGGCGATCATTGCATCCCTGCACCCAGGTGTCCTTGCAACACAAGCAGGGCTACAGTCATTTCCCTCAGCCTCCTGAGCTGAGCAGCCTCCCTCAGCTGAGCTCCTGAGCAACCTGAGAAGTGGTTGTTACTTGGCAGCCTCCACAAGCTTTGAGTAGCAGGATGTAGTAACCTTTCCATGTCTTACAGAGCTGTTTTCTATCAGACCTGGAGCCAGTTGTGCAAATAAACAGGGAGGTCCATACACTGCCTGGCTAGATACGCTGCAGGTCTGAGTGAGGCTCAAGATCAGCTCCGTCCCTGTATCCCTAAACTTCTCACACAGGTTCAGTTCCCCCACTAAGCACCAAGCTGGGGGAGGACAGTTGCTCTAAGAGCTCTTGCTGGGCACCACAGCGGGACAGCAGCTGCCTGACGTGCATGGCCGAGCTGGGAAAGGCAGGGACCACAGCTACCTTCCTTCGGGGCTGAGCTTCTCCCTGCGCAGCTTCAGGTCCACCTCTTCCATACTCTGTCTGCAGAGCGCCAGCTTCTCCTCCAGCCCATCGATCTGAAAAACAGAGCAGTCACTCATTGCTTCTCCCAACCAACGCGGATGCATCCCTGCTCAGAAGGGAAAGAAGTCCAGCCGCTCCACCTCTTGCCTCCACAGCTAGGCCTGCAAGGCCTGTAGAGGTAAATGATCCTGAGCTACATGCAAATAATGCTAAGCTGAACAGAAAGGTTAAAATCCCTGAGAAATGCACACCATGGCTTCTGCCCTGCTCACACACCTCCAGCCTACACCAAGTTTTGGCAGCAACATGGTGCCACAGCAACGAGAAACCAGTTTTCTTCCTGGCAGATCATCTTCTCCACACACACACTGGAGTATCTTCCCATAGGAGAGAGCAGAGGCAATTCTGTATAAACACAACAGAACTGATCTACTTGCCTGGATGTGGGGAGTCGTTGCACAACAGGGAATCCTGCTGTGGCCCAGGAGTTCTAGGAATCATTGCTCTTACATGTCTGGCAAGCAGAGCGTAGGCATCACAAGGAAAACTTTGTGTTTCATTCTTGTTCCCAGCTGGGATTCAGTGGGACTGATCACATAATAAGAACATACCTTCCCAGCCTGAAAGAAACTAGTCCAAACTATGAGCAGAGCAGTATCCTGATATGCCAGTGCTATTGCCTCACTTGGAGTTTGGGACCTGCTCCTGCATGCTAGGAGTCTCTCACAGCTAAGCCATCCAAGCAACTCTTCGCTGCGAGGCAAAAGGAAACAGAGAAGAGTTAATAAACACAGGAGAAATCAGAGCAACCTGTCTGAGAACTACTGCTTATTCTTGAGGCTGCCAAGGAATTTCCTAGAAGCCTGCAGCACAAGGGAACCTGTAAAGCTTTGGCACAATCTCCAGGGGCAGCTCTGCAGGAGAGGGCAATCCTGGATGCAGTTTCACACTTGAGCTTACTGTGGATGAAAGGAAACCTTTTCCTCATACTGACAAATGCAACAAGAGGTTAGTTGGGGCCCAACCTAGGCCTGTCTGAGGTCTGCATGAAAATGAAGAGCTGAGCTCTCTAGCAGGATGCTGAACCATCACTGCACCTCACATGAACGTGTCTTTATAACAGCAGTCTGAGCACCGTTGTGAATGAAGTATGGAGCGCAAACGCTAAAGACAGTCCCCTGGGATGCAGCTAAAGCACCGCTCTTACACTACAGCTCCAAAAGGTACCACTAGGCAGAGTCATTTTCATTGAATTCTGACAACACGCACAAAATCTGGAGACTCTTCAAACCAGGGACACACAGAGTAGCTTTCAGTCTAAACTAACTTACGCATTTATTACAAATCTCATTTGTTGGGACCCTCTTGGGAGCGCAAGTCTAAAATGGGTAGCACAGAGGGAGGGAGCTTTGCTCACAGAGCTGAGCTGTATCCCTTTTAATTCATTTTGCAATGAATTAATAAAAGCTTTCTTTTCAGCATGAAGGCTAAAAGCACTTTTCAAGAACTAGCATCCTCCCTCTGCTTTCATGAATTTCCTAATTAAGATGCTGGCAAAGAGCCATATCACACATACATTGACATCCAGCAGCGTTAGGTAATGAGGTTTTCATCTTCTGACCCTCACATAAATCAGGTTAAATCCAGCTGAAGAGGTGGAGGCAAAGAAGAAATAAAAGTTTTTGCTGAGCAGTCTCCTCATGCCCATCACCTGCCAGGACACTTGAATAGTTCTTTTCACAAGGGAATTAGGGGTTCTTGCATCCACAAATTTGTCTGGATTATTAAAATCAATCTAGCAGAGATGAGTTGTGTTTAAAATCACAACCTTGCGCTTAAAGGAGTCACTCAAATTTCACCATTCTGACAAGTCATTTCATAGATGCTGTGCCCACAGCACGCTTGGAAATATTTGCCAGGTAAGCTACTACACCACCGAAGATGATCAGTCCACGAAGCCTAACATAAATCCTGCAGATGAACCCTCTGTTTTGGTAAAGGAGATCCCTCCTGCCTCTTGTCCTTCGCAGCCCATCCAGACTGTCTCAGCTCACATCAGAGGCCCTGCAGGGTGTCACGCGGATGTAACCACACGGCACCATCCTCTGCGTTCTGGGAAATTCTTTTAACAGCTTTTTTGAGTAGCGACTACATGCTCCTTTTCCCCTGTTCTAACGCAGCTTTTTTGAGTAGCAACTACATGCTCCTTTTCCCCTGTTCTAATACTCCTACCTAGGCACTGATCAGTCACTGTGAGGAACAGGATCTGAGCAACACATGTAACAATTCCTTCTGCAAACACACACGTGGCATTTGCCTGAGTAAAAGGTGTTTTCCTTGTATTTAATAACACCACTTTTTTTTTTCTCCGAACATGTTTAGCTGCTGTCTACACCCAAATATGTATTTTAAAGGCTACAACATCCCATGATAAGGAGTTTCATGTCCTAGTCTATAGTTATGTGAAGGTTGGTACGCTTGCCTTGTGTTTGCATCTGCTAGTTTCATTTGATAGACTTTTGTACTGAGGAGCCTATGAACATGTTTTATGTTACTGTTTGAAACCACAAGTAGTGATTTTATGAGATCCCCTTTTGGTCATTTGTTTTCTAGCTTACAGGGACGTTCTCTACTTCATCATTTCTTGTGCCAGTTGTCCACACCTTTGATTATCCTTGTCTCTCTCTCCAAGATCTTGCCAGTTTTATGACACTGCTGCCGGAGTGACCAGGGTCTCACTACCTTCATTCTCCTCATCAATTCCATCAAGGGCAATTTAGTGTCATCTTCTGACACGTGGTCCCACTGACAAGAAAGCCGTACAAAACAAGTGGCATAAACTTAAATGACCACCATAGTATAGAGAAGCATTTATATCCATTAAACTAGACCACATTAATTGCAGCTGTAATTTGTAAGTGCAAGCTCATCCGATATGCAGATTTAAACAGACATAAGTGTCCATGTAGAAAATTGCATTCATTTAGCATCATGACTTTAAACAAGCATGACACTGCCTGGAATAGGCCTTTCAGAGATAACCATGCACCATGTCGTATTAAGACTCATTTGGAAGGTTTTCTTTACAACTGTAACAGCTCAGAAGGTAATATAAACTGAATGAAAATTTAAATTATGAAATCACTATCACAGCTGTGAAGCATTCTGACACCAGATATACCTAAAACAGAAACTTTTCTTCCTCTAGCTTAAAATGATTTTGTTTTCTTTCTCCACAATTTGTGTTCAGTACTTTCTCTTCATTGCAAGCAAAATGATTTTATTGTTTAGTAGTAATTTTGCACAGGGGTTAAATTTTCATCTAGAACACCCCCAAGAAGAGTAGTCCTATGGTCCTTTCAAATGCAGCTTCTACCATGATAACTTTTTTAAAAAATAAAGATACTCGAAGTCCCCAAATGTAATAATTTTCTATGGCAGCTAAACCCAGTCCCTTTTCATTCTGTGATGAGGAGGTCTCAGAGAAAGGCTCATGATTGTTATCACTTCCCTTTTCAGAAGGCAGCATCTCATCTCTCATTGCCTGTCAGAACCCTCCCCTCTGGACTCCTTTTGGCTGCTACATTAGGGTTAGGGTGCTCAGAAATGTCTATCTTCTCCAGCAAGGCCTAACTAGATGAAGTAGAGCATAGCATTAGCATCAACTGCACTCCCAGTCATATGGCACAACGTGACACTCGCATTTTTCATCAGCAGCACATGAAGCACATACGGCATGTCCCAGGTCCTTTTGGCAGCCCTCCTGGGTGTTTTGCATAAGTTCATCCAAAAGACTTAGTGAGAGAGAGAGAATCTACAAGATCCATTGGATTGGGTCTGCCTCATTTCTGCCATTTGTTAGATGGGTTCTGGCTTCTGTTCTCCCAGTATTTATAACCCACAGACCTGAGGTGTGGGCTCTCCCCAGCCTCTTCTACCACAGTCAAGGCAGTGCCCATCAGTGCAAGAGCCAAAACAACATCTGCTTCAGAGGGACCTTAGAAATGTACCCCATTTGTTACATGCAGGGCTGAAATGAAACGTGCTATGACAGCAGACTTGCTGCTGCTCCAAAGACTGTGAAACACCCAAAGGTAGCAATAAATACAGTTTCAGAAGGAGGACAAATGCAAGTCTTTTCCCTTTCTGTGATGTACTGGCACCCTCCTCCACCCTGCATACTGCTTCACTTACTACCGCAGAGTTGCCCAAGAGACAGCCTGGCCTGAGCTCATTTAATCACAGTCTCGAAGACAGGGCTGCGCGTGGGCGCACGAGCGAGCGAGGAGCAGGAGCTCACCGCAACACGTGCTGAACTGCCTCTCCACGCACGTCACCCAAAGCCTCTTCTCAAGGGTTCTGCCAAAGCATCACACGGTTCGAGGCTTGGGATTAGGAACCTGGCCCTTCTGCAGGGAAGGAAACGCAACCCACAGGAACACTAGAGCCGGAAACATTCCCGACTCGTGGCAGTCACAGAGCAGACTGATTTGTGGTGCCTGGCTTCATGCCAGGGAACTCCTCACAGGTGAGGGATGCACTGCACTTTGCCCATTAACAGATGCTTTAGTAGATCAACACACTGCAGCCTCTTAATAGGGAATTTTAATAAGATCAGAATAGCAGCTGTGGCCACAGCTAAGCTCAGCGTGGTGCTTCCCACCTGCAGGAGAGCCCCACCAAGGGACTTCGCACACAGAGGCTGCAGCTGGGCTGAACCCCAGCAATGCAGAGCAGGGCCGGGGCAGACAGGAGAGCAGCGCCCCAGGGCTCTGCCCCTGCCCCTGCCCCATCCCTG